TTCAATGGCTAGAAAATATCTTTCTAAGATAAGAGAAAGAAAGTGAGGGTTTTGGTTTTTTGGGTTTTTTTTTTTCGGGTGGGAATATTGTTGTAAAGATTTGTATTTAATGTTTGGGTTTGTATTTAGTTTTTTTATATTAATATTTTTGCCCTGATTGAAGTTAGAGCACTCTTTTTTGGGTAAAATGGGTAGGAGTTGTTCACAAAAATTAGTATGCTGTAACAAAGGAGTTGAATTCCATTTGATACTTGCTTAGCCTTAATTTTTCAATGTACATGTGGATGTACAATGACCTGAACTCCCAGGGAAGTCCTGTAAATCCCTCTAAGCAGAGTGCAGTTCACCTTAGCATTTAATCTTGCGGTGAGCTTCCACTGAAGAGGGTCCCTTTCCATTCCCCCAGTGATGGTTAATCCACCCCCCGCCCCTGCTAATTAATTAGTTCTGTCAGTTCTACAAACTGAAGCAGCAGCCTTGTTGCTGCACAGATAGCTAAGACAGGGGGATAGGATGCAGTAGAGGAAACTGAACAGGATGAAACAAGCCCTTCTCTTTCTGCAGCMGGGTCAAGTTAGATCATCTCAAATGCAACACACAGTGAACCTGAAGTGTTGAAGGTTTGGATAGTGGACTGATTTTAATTCCCCAAGAAATATTAAGGATCCTCTGAGCTATGAACTCTACAGCCACAGAATGGTAGGCAGTCTCTTGAGCTGGATCTTAAAAAAAAAAAAAGGAGAAGCAGGAAACCAAGGACAAATTCTCAAACCACCAAGCTACAGTTCTATGGCTTCACAGCCAGATGATCCAGTGTTCAATGAACAGACCTCTGTTGTTGCCAGAGCTAAAAATTCTGCAAGTTTATCATGCTTTTTACTGACATCTCATAAGCATAACAGTATGGAAGAAAGCAGACTTCCAGACTGCAGGTAGAGAAGAACCAAAGTCCTCGGATGTTTTCCAGGACATGCTCTCATTGACATTGGCAGAATCTGTCAGTATCTACTTAGCACTGAGTAACTGTCTGATGACAAACTAATTTTTGAATTTGGGAAGAAACAAAGCCTTTTTTCCGTTACAGAGCTATATAGTAGCCTATGTAGTATGGCTTGGTCTCTATTTACTCTGTTTTAAATACCTTTTTCTTCTTTCTTGATCTGACAATAAGCTGGCATTTGATCCCCTTATCCAGGGATTTGTTTTTGCCAATAAAAATTGCTCTTACATGGACTAGCAGTTAGAAAAGCCTGTGTGGAATGACTGGGATGGCACTCCACAGATAGTCTGCATTATATAAGCTGAGTTTTCCACTCAGGTAGTTAATTAATTAAACTTGGTCTTCAGATCCCAAGAGAGAAACCACTTATGTGCACACTTATTTTAATAACGTGTTTCTGTTCCTCTGYCCATGGAGATTTAGCCCCGTCTTCCGGTTTGTCAATTCTCAAGAGGGAGAAAAGGGAATGTAAGGACAAAGCGGAAGTGTGTGGCTCCATGTAGTCTCATTTTGGGCAATTAGTCTTGTCTGATTGGGGGTTGTAGATGGGGTGAGGGAACATCTTACAACATCACTACGGATTGCTTGAATGATGTGTCCTTTGGAATAGATGCTATGTCCTTCCCAGAAGAGGGAAAAAATGAACAGTAGTAACAAACCATGTTATCATTTTGTGTTCCATCCTCTGCAATTGCATTGCTCTTCTGTGATGGTGCTCCTGCACATTAACCTGCTATGATACAGATAATTGTGTGTACCATTCTTTGCTTGCATCTGGGCAGACCATGTCATTGTTTTTAGCAAAAATTAATGTGGTAGCTTAAAAACACAGAATTTTTTTCRTACATAGCACAAGATAAAATCACTCTTGTTTCCATGAAGTAGTCTGAATATGCTTCTGTGTATTTGCTACCAGAAATTTGGCAATTGCTTCTAAGTCCTCTGTGACATGTCCTCTAGAGATTTCACACAGCTCAAAAATAGGTGCAGAAATCTTCTCTTAACTTCAAGCCTGGTTTTGCTGGCACTTTGGCTTACGAGTGAGTGCTCCTGTAACTAGTTTTACCTCCTTGTGTCAGAATGACAAAGGACATACCAGAGTTTTTAAAGGAAGGTCATACAGTTGTATTGCCTTTATTGTTTAAGGTGAGTTGCTTTTCTCAAACTACTTGGCCTTGAAGGTTTTCCTTGTATTCAAGGGCAGATGGAATTATGTCTTCTACATCAGTGTATAGTAGATGTAAATGCTGCCAAATCTGAATATTGTTTTCGCATCAGTTTTGCACTGATAGTAACTTCTAGTTCTTAGTTAATTGCAAATAAGCCTCTGTGCATTTTCAGAGGCAGGAGTGATTTCTATCTTGCTTTCCTGGTATTTTCTTTTGATCATTCATATACTGTTGGAGATGGGCCATATTAGGCAATAGATGGGTATTTCTGGCAACAGTGTAAAACTACACCTGTCCCCAAGTTACRTGATGGGGAAGGAGGAAGCAGAGGAGGAATGCTTGAGTTTGGAGGCAGTGTAAAGAAAGGAATTAAGTGTGGAGCCTGGAAAGGAGCCTGCACTGAATGCAGACTACAACAGTAGCATATAGCTTAAGAAGAGGTAACTCTATCGAAGACCTTCAACACTAACTCATTTGGCCTCTCTGGAAATGTCATGATACTAAGTTCTTTGCACACTGTGTGTAAAGGAAACAGTTTTGTCTGAGCATTTGCATATTGTGGTGGACTGCAGGCACTAAGAGAGGCCAAAGAAAGCATTTGGGGTTACTGTCATTGTAAACAGTAATGTTTGTCTAAAAACTGAGTGTGATTAAATCATCTCGTGTCAGCTGAACCACAGTAACTGTGTGTAAACATTCTCAGTCGACTATTTCAAAAGCACAGACCACATCTGGCTTGAATTTTGGCTCTTGTCTTCTGCTTGCATTGGACTGAGAGCATGCAGAGTTAATTATATTTCAAACTCARCAGAAGTAATAACTCTATATGCTGGGACAGCCTGTTCACATACCAGAGCCCTTTGTGTCAAGACACAGAAGAGCTGTATAGAGAAGTATAACATCCTTTATTAGATCACTTGATGTACTTTGGGGATATAATCTGACCTTCAGTAGTGAGCCAAAAGACACCAATTCCTTGTATCCTGTGGCAGTCCCTTATGAAATACAGTTACTCTTTTGTTCTGCACCTCACGGCCGTTCTGCTGGAGTGATGTGAGTGCATTGCAAAGCCAGTTTCTCAAGAGTTGTTGCACACAACTGTCAGTTATGTCAGTGACAAAGTTGAGGGGCARTGGGGGTGCTGATGACAGACTCAAACTATCCATGCTGTCTTTTTATGGTGCTTGTTAGTTGTTATGAGTAGCACCTGGAATGTAAAAGAAGATTGACTTCCTTGGGGACTTGCCTGCAAGATGTATTTTCTGGGCTACAGCATGGACTGAGAAATCACATCAGAAAACAAACTTAATAAAAACATCTAGCTAAAAAATAATTGGCTGTCACATTTTCCTAGGAGAGAGGGAGAAGTGTTTTTAAGTGGCTATAAAAGTATAAATACCACTTCTATGATGTATTCTTATTTTTTCTGGTTTTAGGAATAACTTTTGGATTATGTTTTGATACACATCATGTACACAGACAGTAATTCTTAKTCTCAGACTTACATACCATGTTCATATTACTACAAGTGAAGGAGACAGTATATTTACAGGCCTTTACAACCAATTTCATCCCTTAGTAATCCCTTGTCCTGGGTGGCAGAGGATTGCTTAGTGCTAAAATGTGCTACATTGGATGAGATTTTTTTTTTAGGTGTGCCTCACATGCTACCCTGCTAGCTTGCTTCTTTACCAGGATGCTGCTGTCTTCTTGTATCCTGGTGTCTTCTAAGAATTTGACTTGCTTTTAAATACATTTTTWAAATATGTGGTTATGCTTATGTCTATGCAGTGATCTCCTCATGTCCCAGTGTCAGAGGTGATATGTTGATGTCTAAATAGTCTTGAATTTATTAGCCTGTTCAGAATTACATCAGTTTCTATGCCAAGGATTTCAACAGTACCTCTGTAGGAGAGAGCACTTCAGAGTTTAGCCTTTTAAATTTTTGTTCTTCAGGAGACTTCTTGATGGGGTTTGTGAGGCACTGTGTTTTGGCATCAATATAAAGAGTTCTGTATGTCTGTATGGGCTGTGGAAGAGACTGTGAACCAACTGGCCTGATGTTCACAGTGCACAGTCGTTTAGAAGTAGATGACAAATTCCATAAGCCTTGAAGGCAGAACACTTTACAATCTGGACAAAAAATACATCCCTGCCCCCTCCCTTAGCTGAATTCATGAAGGAGGAAAAGGTCCTTGCAGATTGTTAGAGGTGACTTTCTTTCTGTGTGCCTATGTGACCCTCTTTGCCCATGTTTTTGCCATGCTCTGTGGGGCAGTTGGACATATGGTCTCTGAAATTATGATGGACTGTTCACAAATTATGTGTTCAGTTAGCCCCACTGTGTAATAGGTATGATACATTCAAGAGTCTTTCACAAATGAGGGGTTTTGCCTTGTACTCACAGACCTTTAAGCCTTCTCTGAGATTTTAGTGAAATGGGGCATTATGATTTTAGCTGAAGGCTTTTTCCATATGGTGCAGATGGCTCCTAAGGGAGCTTGGTTCATGGATCGCCTCCTTTTCCATAAATATTGGAAGATTTTATGGTACACTCCCTTTAGATACCTGTAAGCCTTCTGGCAGATCCCAGTTCCTTTTTCAGACAATAAGTAAAAGCAAGTTCATCAGTAATAATATGGCAATATACTTCATCCCCTTTCCACATTTCACCTYGCTCCACACATCAATGGGTTGACACTTTCTGTATGGTTGAACAGCTCATCACAGTCTTGTCGAATTTATTGTCAAGAAGAATTGTGTGTAAAAGCCCTGAATGGTTCTTAGACATCTGATAGTGTTAAAGCTTAGATTTTTCCCATATTTTTCAGGACTCTAGTGCATGAAGGACGTAAATGATAATCCCAGGGGACCATCTGTCCTGGAGCAGGCATTGGAACCAAGTTACGATGTGACTGAAAGGACGGAGTGCAAGTCAGATGGTAAGTAAGACAAGGAAGATGAGATGTATCATACTGTCACTACAGTACAGATGAAAAATATAGCCATACATGCATTCTTTTAGAACTTATCCTAATTTTCAGGTTTTAAGTGTTTTACAAACCCCAGTTAGCATGGAAGGTAGTTTTTTTTGCTAGATCTTTTCACAGTGGAGTATATATTTTAACATAGCTGTGGTTCTCATATCATCCAGAGTCCATTTCTCCTCCATTGCSTACTTGATGTCTATGAAATTCTTTCTAGCTTGGATTTCTAAGGAAGCCTAAAGGATTGAGCCTTTGTCTTCTAAAAGCTCCTTAGGAATTTCTTTTAAATCCAATCCATAGCTGCCTCAAGTGGTTTTTTTTTTTTTTTTCTTTTTAATTAAATTGTGGTAAACAGTAAGTAAATAA